TTTTTTTTTTCTTTCCTTGACAATATGGAGCTTTTTCTTTCTTCTCTGGGCTGGTTTTTTTCGTTTTCTTTACCCAAGGACTTTTTTCTGCTTTTGGTTTTTCCATAGAAGTTAGCGTAAAGAGCTTTCACGTGGGAATTTTTGTCAGGTGCGTGATGTAAATAAAAATATGCAAATGACATGAAATACGAGCGATGAGCGTTTGCCGCAAAAATTTCCTCAGGGTTCTAGCCCGTTGACAAGATTATGACACCTACCTAGTTTATTAACTTTACTTGAAAATACGTTTTTTTCTAAATAACTCGGCCCCTTTTCGAGATTTTTAATGTTTTTCCATTGGAAACACTAGATAAAATGACGAACTTAAATTTTGTCAAATAAAAGAAAAAACGATTTTTTTGACCTCTGAGGGTGGGAAGTAACCTTAAGTTTTCACCTACCATACTGAGTGCAAGTTTCTACAGGAAACTGACTATTTGACATACCAATATTGTTACGGGAAACAAACTCAAAACTGGTACACCTCTCCCGTGTCTTATCATTACTTCTATACATGCTTACATGCATATAACTAAAAAAATGTAATGTGGTGTACAGGTAAATATATGTCTTCATATGCAATGTGGTGTGTTAACCAGTCAATCCTTTAGACTGATCAGGTACAGTTTTTTCCTTCTGTTACTCTGACTCAGTTTAGACTGAGATGTAGCACCAATACTGAGCATTTAACATTGTTATCACTATGATTAATGATGTTTTAGGACCAGTTGAAATATAGTAAGATGTAGAACTGCACATTGGGTATTGCTTAAGTATTTGTAATAGAATATTTTCACTAAATGTAATAATATAATTATTAACAAGTATTTTTATTAAGTGATTTTTTCAAGTCTTTCAGTGGAGTCAGAATACAAATGGCAAGTAAATCTGTACAGTACAGCACTACTACACAACTAAATTTCTAATTAGATATGTATTATCCAACATTTCTTTTCCCAAACCAACCGTTTAACTTTGTTTTAGGGTTGTGTGTACTCAACTAACCTGCATTGAAGTCAGATTCCTAAGTACATACACCATGAAATAATTGTACTTGTTTCACCTGTTATTTGTACTCTACAGAGTGCAGATGGATAATAAAAAATAAAATTATGCCATGGAGTACTTACATCTGGTGTCTGACTCGAGACATTCACGTTAACTGGAGGCCTGGATGGACCTAAATGGAATAAATGCAGATGAGTGTGAGTAAAAGGCAGGGCTCTGCTCTAGAACCACCCATGTTCCACGGGTGACAAAATTTTGCTTGCATGGTGACAGGCGCATTGAGCATTTGTTTTAAGACTTCTACACTCTGAACTGAGTGATAAACTGATGCTGGAAATAAACTAACAATATAAACAGTCTGTTAACCAATTTCATAGAGTTACATTCTGTACTAATCATTGTGGGTTGTCTATGCTCTATTTTCTGGACATGACAACTAAAACCAATTTCACATGACAGCAACTCAGCAGCAAAACATTCTTGATGTTACAATATTATAATGGAACAGTCAACTTACTGCCTTGAAGTGTTCTTTGCACGATTATTTCAGACTCTCTCCCAATGACTTTGGTGTATGCTTTAACATATAAACTGTAATTTGTGAATCCAAACAGTCCAGACACTACGCGACTGTTAGTATCCTTGCCAACAACATCTTGATTTTCTGGGCTGTTTACATTGTCTAACTGCCGATAATGTACTGTATAGGCCCTAATTGAATAGTTGCCAACAGGAGGACTCCAGCTTATAATGATGGATGATGAAGAATGTGGCAAAGCAACTACATTAGTTGGTGGCCCCGGCTGATCCTCTAAATCGATAAATAAATAGACAATTAGCCACAGGTATGCACGCTTTTCACTTTAAACGCAAATACAAATTCACTGAGAATGTGAGCAGTGTCTTGGACAATATCTTTTATAGCTAGACAGTCTATAGCTCAAACCAAAGAAAAAACCAGTACTGATAGCAAGGCTAGACATAAAGGCAGGATTCACTGCTTTAACCACTAAAGATGACCGAAAGAATGTATAACTACATATTATTACAACATACTGTTACAACAAGCTTAGTTATCTTGGCCATCCAAGGGCAAAAACACAAAGAGTACAAAGGTAGGTTCATGTACTAAGTTGCTACATTGGTTCAACCTCAAACAGCACACAAGTCATGTTATGTCACAACATACCAGGGTGTCATGCTCCATTAACACACATTCTAGAGATGGCCCCCTAAAACTTTCTTAAAACTGACATCTACAATGAGCATATGTGCATTTAAAGTTTGTACGTGACATATGATAAATTTGACACTACGAATACGTCTGGAAATGTCAACAATGTATAAAGTACACACTAATGGTAACAAGAGCAGGCTACGCAACATACTGTTTGTAGTAAAAACTCAATTCAAGGATTGAGCAAAAATCCAAAAATTGTTGTTTCTTTTTGTTTTTTTGTTGTTTTCTTTTTTACAAAACAATTGTTTTTGATTAACATTTTTTAAAACCGACATTCAACAGTACAGCACTAACACTGACACTACCTGCAACACTGTCTTACAGTAATTACAATACTAACAAGGCTTACATTACTTACAGTGTGAGTGCTACCTATAATCAATACTGAAGTTAAACACTAATTACAACACGATTTTGTTTTCCATTAGCTCATCCATACAAAATATAAATACTTACACTTCTTTCAATATTATTTAATTAGCTAACTTTACCCAATATATAATAGTAAGACTACTACAATCTACTTTCTTTTTTTGTGTAATTGGTAGTTCACTCTACATACATCCAAAAATGTTTGTATCACTATGATCTCACCTGATCTGTGAACTATAACACTGGCTGTGGCTTGAGCATTTCCAACATTATTTTCTGCAAGGCACTGGTACATTCCACTATCGCTAGAGGTAACACTGGATATTGTCAAGATGGCTCCTCCTTCATAATATCTTACTTTTGCTGCATCCTGAGAACTCAGCTCATTGCCATTTTTGAGCCAGGATAGTGATGGTACAGGTGAGCCACTGGCGGCACATTTCAGTTCAATGGGCTCAGTAGTTGTCCATTTTAGACTACTAGGCTTTGTTGTAAACTTAGGGGGGACTAGAAACAATAATGGTATGGTTAGCCAAGACAGAGTGCAATGTTTTGCAAAATGTTGGTATTTTAAAAGCTGCTGGTCACTCTTGTTTCCTTGCCCCTACTTTCCTTTTAAAAAGTGTAATTTTATTTTGAGTTCCCACTGCATGAATTTACTTTTAGAAACTCTATTGGGGCTTCAACTTTAATTTTACTTTAAAATTCTAATAGAAATCCCATTGAATTCCAAATTTGGGTTTGTGTATTTTGGTACAAATGTGCTCCTTGTCATTCGTAATTAGTACTAGACTCAAACTGTCATTGTTGGCTTAGTATGAATGACCTTGAAATGTTTCTTGAACGCATGCTAAAACTATATGACAATTAGTGAAAGATGTTAAGGAGAGTATTTATTGTACAGAGGTTTAGATTACATGATTTATTTCTTTAGAGCCAAGATTGAGAAGGGGGAACCCACAGACAAGCCCATCATCTGTTATGTTGTTTTGCAATGTAACATGCACACACAAAAATCTTATAAAAATAAAAAACTATAAACAATGGATGAGGTTTTTTTGTGACATCCAGCATAATTAAGGGCAAGGTAAGTGCCGTCAGCCAAAGGCTACAGAGGGTGAGAATACTTACCAAGACCTTGATTATGCTGAATATTATGAAACACTGAACTAAATAAATCTCTTATTATACTTTGTTGCAAAGAACTTAAACCATATCTTACTTTAAGTTTTGAGTGAAACCATTTACTGGAGATTAAATATGTTGCTAGGACTTTTGTCTTTCCCTCACTTATATCCATTTTTTTTTCCCATCCTTTGGGTATCCTTTGAATCCCTCCTTGGCCACTTCCGTCCATTTTGTATTGTTTTCTACATCAACATTCACCAACATTATCTAGATTTTCCACATTCTGTAGCCCAAAATGCAATCAAAATGGTTAATTTGTTGTAGCTTTCTGGCTCTTGACAGGTGGCAAATTCCTCTGTAGCATTACGACAGTAGTTGACAGGTGACAGAATATGCAGAGTTGTCTGCAGTTTACAAAAATAGAGAGGCTTCAATGCATAATAATATATTATGATTATTGGACTACTCAAAAAAACCCAGAGCAACAGTTAGCCAGATAATAACTAATACTTTAAGACAAATTTGCAAAAAACCTGAATATTACCTCTGACAAAAAGCCACACAGATCTGAAAATTGTTTTTCCATCTGAACTGGCTTGACACTCGTATTTCCCTCCATCACTTTCAAGGATGTTGGTGAAATTCAGGTTGTTAAGTCCATGAGATGCACTATGGACTCTCACATTTCCATTCAATTTCTTCCAGCGCACAACCGGGCCTGGATATCCAGTTGCAGTACATTCTAAGGTAGCTGAACCTCCCTTAGTAACAGTTATGTTGCGAGGTTGACCAAGAAACTTAAGCCTTGTTCTGTTCCCATCTAAATCTGCCAAAAAAAAAAACACTGTTTTAGTCAATAAAAAGAATACCCAATAATCAATAATCCAGGATATGACAAATGCAATTCTCAACGTTACCAAAAACTAATTTTGTTCTGGTTTATTTTCAATGTAATCCACTCTCAAACTGTCACTAACTTAAACATTCATAAATATTTATTAATATGGATACATACATTTAATATGCTTATACATACACCATACATTTACATTTATTATATTATATTCTGAATCCAAGGTGTCAAATGCATTTCTACAATCTGCTTAGTAATTTCATAAGAAAGGCTAACTCTTCTCAGCACCCTTATAATGTTTGAATGTGTATGTTTGATCCTGGACTTAATTACGGACATTGGTTATCTATCATCCCGTATACAACACATACTCAAGGAATAAATGTCAATTATTTAAAACTGCATCAATGGATAATTCAATTCAAGAGTTTTCATTGGCTTAGCCATAATGGTATACATTAATTATTATAACCATAATAATCCAGTTATAATAGACAAAAAATCATTCTTACCTGACAGTATAATAAGACTTGCAAACTGGCTTAGTCGTGTTTTAGCAACATTTTTTGCAATACATCTATACTTTCCTTCATCTGCTTTCTTAATATTTTTTATTTGGAGTACTCCTTGGCCCAAAATGACTATTCTGTCACTAGGACTCAAAGAACTGCCATCTTTCTCCCATGTTATTGTGGCGGGAGGAACAGCTTTGTGAATCTGACAGGAAAATCTTGCCACTGATCCTTCCCAGGTTGTTGTACTTTGAGGCTCATGATTGAATCTCCTGGACATGCCTGTTGAACAAAAGCCAAGAGAAACAAATAAACCCAAAGTGTCTCCTGAACTTGCATTGTGAGATTCCAGTGCCTAATAAAGTGCATAGCTTCGGCTATCAACAGACAGTTTCGAACAAATCAATAAACTCTTTGGCTTAATTCTGGAGATCTGTGTAACCAACTACTTAATAACTCAGAGTGAGGTCTTTACGGGAAAATCTCAGACTGAGACCTTGTCCCATTGACCGAGCAATAGCAACTGAGAGCAAGTATTGCCGAGTATTGCCATACTGACCAAGTGATAACAAGGTCAATACTGCAAGGCTGAGGTTTGGGATTTTCCCTTAAAGACCAAACGTTCGAGGTTAACAAGTTGTCTATTATATGGCTTTTCGCTTTGTTTTTGCAGACTGACACTATTTGGTTTTAGAAAACAGTCCTAAGAAAATGCGCTTAAAAATTGTGTTTCTATAACTCAATAGAAACACAGACTTAGCACAAGCTGTCGATGACGGCGCAAGCAAAGAGAATTTACATTTTGATAATCAAAGTTAACACGTTGTTTTCCTTTTTTTCGTCACAGTGTTTTTTAAAAGAAATAGAAAACATGTTCTCTGTGTTTCTATTGACTTATAGAAACACTCATGAAAGTTTGGGAGAACTCGAAAAAGCTGTGGAAACACTCGCCTGTGGCTTGTGCTACCACAGCATTTCTCATTCTCCCAAACTTCCACTCGTGTTTCTGTAACTTGATAGAAACACAGTACATGTTTTCTATTTCTTAATGGAAATAGCTTATTGATGTTCTAAAAGGGCTTATTTTTGGATTTTTTTTCAGTATTTTATTTTTGTTTTTCCATGGTTTCAAATGATAATTTAGATATTTATCCCTTTACATTCCTGGATGACAGATTAGAGCATAGCTGAGTAAATTTCACTGTCAATAAAATTATCTGTAATTTTACCACAAACAAGTTGTAAAACAAAATCCTTATGTAAGCACGTGACATTCTTTACAAGGCGCCATTAATCGCTATTGGACAACGAGACAAAGGATCACCCAAAGTGAAACTTGCTGTTTTGCTTGCTAACTCAAAGGGACCGCCATGTTTAAGACAAGCCTAAACACGAGCCTAATTTTCGCTCTCTAACGATAAAACTCTTCACTAACGAAATCCTCGCGTTTGTGCGCTATTACAAACATTAAACAAATAGCCGATGGAGAATATCCGCAAACGAGGTTCTCTTTTTGATAAGGTCAAAGGTGCCGTACAACATAATGATAATGCGACCACGGCTAAATGACGAGTTGTTGTTTCGCAGCGTGGTGTATGTGTAGCCTCGTAGATTAACGCCGAATTTAAACTTTATATCTAGAAACCCTTTGACGTTTCGGCGAAAGGCCAACATCCCAAACGTACGGCCTTAGCATACACACTAAAGGCTAACGCCTTTAACGGCCTTGCTAATGCCTTCAACGTTGCAACAAGATTGTAGGAACGTCTAACCCCAACAGCGGAGAGAGGCGATAAAAATCATTCTTGGTTCTCTACCTACAGGATACGAATATTTGTTACGTTTCGCCGATAACTAAAAAATGGAAGAATTTGATCAATCAATGCCATACATTCTACTGCAACGTTTATTGTGGCAAGAACACGCATAACAAGTATTCGATTGCCGCTTGGTCGCTGGAACAAAGTGCAGTACCCTGTACTTATAAGCTTAACCTTTCTCCTCATCGTCAAAAGACGCAATATTTACACTTATAAAGTTACGCATAAAACTGTAAAGGTTAAGATTTTGAGTGAATAAGCTGCGTGTAAGAAGATAAAACAAACAATATTTGACAGTGTTAGAAAAACACTATTATTGAAGAGCGCCCATCTACGATCGATGCTCCAACCTTCCAAAATGCAACTCCTTCTGTTTCTCTTGGAGGTTAAACGCACGGGTCACTGAAATATTGTAAACATGTTTTGATACAAATTACTCTCTTCTCATGTTAAAGTAGATAAATGAATCGCTCAATAGAAAAGGAAAAATGAAGCAGAAACACGCAATCAAAGAACAATCGCGTGATCACGAGAAAAAAAAGCAAAGATGTAAATACAAAATTGGCAACAGAATTTACATAAACGATAGCAACTGAGTTTTCTCGGCTTTTACTCGCTTTCCGTTAAAATGTAAAGCCAACACATGCAGATTGACCTGGAAAGCCATGGGTCTTCAACAATCGGACTAAATATACGCTTACATGCAGCCGGAAGAACGTCGAGCTCGGAAATGAATCTTTAGCGTTTCAACGATGGTATAAGAAAGAAACTGCACGATTCAACAAACTAATCTGTCCGTGTCGGGAACATGAACATCTAAGGTCACGTCACTGAATTTGTTTGAAACCCCTAAAATGATTTACAAACATGATTTCATTTGTCTCTTACCAGCGATATCCAAATGTACTTTGTGACTTGCTATTCTGCCCATCGAGCTTGACGCAAAGCACTGATATTCTCCAACATCAGTATTGTTTTTCGCCCGCTTGTGAATTACGCTGGTGATAATCAATGCTCCATTGGGTGCTATATGTCTCCTAGAATCGGCGACGATTTTCTGTCCATCTTTCTCCCACGTTATCCTGGAAGGAGGAGGTGAACCCTCCACTCGACAGTTCAATGTAACGGGCTCATTTTTACGAGCTACTGTGTTCACGGGTTCTTGGCTAAAGCCCAGAGGAACCAGGGGCCCCGAGAAAGCGCCTGAAATAATGTATAGCACGTAGTCAGTCAGAGTCTAATAAAGCCCTACCGAAAAATGATTTATTCTACAACAAATCACAACCTACATACAAAAGGGTTAAAAGAATTCGCCAACTGGTGTGAGAAAGTTGTAGGAACTGGTGGACATTGTTTTGATGCCTGTCGCATTATTAGCGCGAACCCCCCTTCAGAACCGCTCGTTGGAAGAAAATTCCTTCAGTTATTCGACAAATGAATAGCAACTACATTGTAAATGGTGACCTTTACTTATAGGGTAATTCGTAGGGCAACTGCAGGTACATTTAACAATCTGAGATCGGCGGCAGTCACCCCTCCATGTTAGTATGAAAAGGTGCCGGAATAGTTTTGCGGTTGAAGCGTTCGCTACGTTCGTTCGCCATTAACGTTGAATTTTCTGCACCAAGAAACGTAAACAGACAAACTATAGACAAAACAAAACAGTACTGCAAATTTTCCAAAAGAACATTAGCATAAAGTCCCATTCGATCCAGTCAGTCTATGATCGGGACGTAAAACGCACAACTGAGTCTCATCGAATTAACATCATGGAGTACGGGAGCACCATTGTATGAGCAGCTGCCGCGCTTGACTTGCTTTGCTCTCAAAACAATCGCTATCATCCAACAACCATCTCACGCTTCACCGGGGTTACTTCTACGTTCAGCTCGTTCCAAGTTTGCTTGTTTCGATTGCAGCCTCCAATTCCCCACCCGGGGATCACCTAGGTTGTAGTGTTAAAGGAGCTTCGCCGATGTAAAAGCAGAAACATTTGCGGTACGTGATGCAAATGTAAATGCGGCGCAGCGCGTTTCAAACTCACTTACCCGCAACTTCATAGGTCATCCAAAATGCTACAAGCAAAGAGAAGAACATTTGGCCTTTACGATCCGTTCTAAAATTACAACGACATTCAGCTACTAAGCGTTTGAGGTTGGAAACTGGAGACTTAATGTTGATTTCTTTTGCTGACAGATGAAATGTGACATGTCTTCCCTGCTATTACCAGAACCAATAAACGAAGCTAATAAAGACACTCTCCAGAGCTAGCCAATCGTGTGCTCTGTGCATAAATTAGATGACATGTCGCATACGCTGCGCCTGTCAATCAAATAGTACACGGAAAAGGACTTCCCCGAGTGGTCAGTTCTCTTGTTTGGATCGCTAGGGTTGTTTTGATTGGTTGGCGGCCACTCTCTTTTATCTATGGTTTCTTGTTGAATTTTCACAACAATGAAAACAAAAACATTACTGCCCTGACTGCCCTCTTAAAATTCATCGTTTCAGTTTACGAATAGAATTGTACTTGAAACAATTCAACATCGTGACTTTGAGATGGAATGGCTATGTACTGTACAGCGTAGCCCAGTGTTTTTATTTATGTAAGTAAAGAAATATTTTTTTTGAGAGGACCCGTGGGCAGAGAGAAGGATAACGAGCGAAAATGTTTTCCTGACGAGGGCAATTTCTGTTTAACACAACCCACGTATGGGAGGTTTCATTTATGTTTTTTTATGAAATGCAAAAGCCAGCCCGAAAGCTCAAAGTTATTGGCGATAAATTATTTATGGAACATGTTTCTAATGGCTTACCTGTAATTATTTTCTTCAATCTTGTCTTATTGCGCTTCAAAGCTAAAATTAAATTTCCGCCACACGCTATTATTATCCTACGTAACAATTCTGATTCATCTCTCAAACAATGGCCACCATGAATCGCTACCATTTTTTTTTTTTTTTTTTTTTTTTTTNCTGTTTCGCAAAGCTTGGAGCGGTTGGCAGTTGGCTTTTACAGACGTCAAACACTCGAGCTATTAGCTTAACGGTCGAGTTTTTGACACTATTAATTAAAGAAGATATCAATTTTTTTTTTTTTTTTTTTTTGAGAAAATAACTCATTTCTCTTACTAGGACAGCGACGAGATTGCCGAAGTGGAAAAGTTGAGAGAATGCCAACCGGAAATAGTTTGGAAACTGTTAGTCTTTAATGCAGGCCCTTGAAATAGGGAAATCACTGCGACATCTCTTGAAGAGTTTTGTGGCTTTTCCTTTGAAAGGACGTGAAATTTTTCTTTTTCTCGACTGAGCACAAAGAATAGTCAAGACGAGTAAATCCGAGTATTTGACTGCAATTCCTAGACCCTTCCATTCGGAACCAATATTTCTGAGTTCAATCAGAAAGTGAACCGAGTCCTACAAAACATAACATCATTTCTGTCATCTTTATTGAGGTCAGGACACCGTGTGTTCGCTTTCATGATATACATATTTTGTGAAACACAGTTTTCGTTGTCCAGCCACCACTTGACCTAAAAACTGTTTCTTAGTTGCAATTCAATTTATTCATTTTGATCAGGTTCCCATTTCTTTGTTAGGTGGTATGGTATCAAGTCTCAAGTCCAGTTCAAGGTATTAATTGCCATGTACAAACATGAAATATTGAATCCTCGTTGACGCCGAAATCTCCAAACAATTAGGAAAAACTATTTAGAGGAAAGTTAACTGACAATCCAAAGCAACCAAAAGAAAAAAACTGTTCACCACATTCAAAGGCTAATCGAGTAATCTGCAATTAAAAATTGTGCTCATAAATGTTGATTGAGGTTAAAGGGGATCCTGAGATCAGCTTGGTACAGCAGTGTTTTGTCACAGCCTGAAATAAACCGGGGAAAATACTGCAACGGGACTTTACCATCGCAATGCTGAGCAAGCACACGATTCAAAATTAAACACAGCTCTCTACATAAGGTCAGTGAAATAAGTCTTTTTCAATAACAATTTACGTCAGTATTTTCACTTTATATTACATGGTATTATAATGTTCAAGACAATAATCCTATCAGGAAGTAAATTGAAATAAACTTGGACCTTTTTACATCCAAAATCAATGTTTGAGGGCCGACAACATTTTTGATGAGGCTGCAGTTTTCCCTTTGTTTGCCTGAATACCAAAGGTTTTCTTGACAAGAAACACAAACAACATGTTCAAAGATCACGTCAAAAATAAAGAGTAGGTGCCGTGAATTTTACGATGAAAACAACAGAAAAATAAACGAAGCAATAATATTAACCGCGTAATCCCTTTTGACACCACATGATCATGAGGTGGCATGAAAAGAATGTCGGCTTTGAGTACTGCCGTGCAATTCATGCGCTTCATTTCAAGACCAGTCAGATCAAACGGTAAAAGCTCTTTTATTTCAATCAATTGTTATTTTCAACCCCGGCCCCGCGTTTTCCACCTAGCCTTTCTTTGGTATGTAGCTTTCTTGCGCCAATTTTTGCTATGTTGTATAGCGATGACACAACATTTAACACAGTCACTCCCAAGAAGCCTTATCAATAAGCGGAAACTACCATAACCAAGGTGTTGAGCGAAACGGAAACAACGCAGGTATTCTAGTCACGTCTTTCACCGCAAAGCCGGAAATACGCCAAGACCTTGAGAGACTATTTTATTACGTTCGTTTGTGAGGCAAATAAATTATGTCATATCAAAGTGTTTGTCCTTTTTTTTTCGAGGAACGAATCAGTGCCTGGGAAAAAGATTTCTGGTCAACTTTGCTTTGCGAATTAGTACCACTGCACATACGGTCCCTGATATCAGTTTTTGTTCAAAGAGAAGAGATTTTGAATGTTTAAAGTTTTTTATCTTCTAAAATCCCACGGCCGCCTCTTCGATTCTTAGAGGATGTGACAAACAAGGTATTTATTTATTCATTCGTAAAACAGTTAATCTGACTGAAGACACATAAATGAATTGAAAATAAAGTTTCTGTTTAGCAGTGCAAACAAACTTGACCATGTTGCAAGATAAAGGTGTAACATAGTAATACCATGTAACATAGTAATATTTACAGTGATGGGAAACCCTTGTGAATTAAAATATATAAAGATATAAATAAATACATAGGCTTGACATGAACTGTCACCATATCATTCTAAGCTGTTCCAAAATAACAAAAAAAATAAACTATCAGATTGTCATGATACTGTAACTATGCCAGTGAAACTTCACGCAAACTGATTTGCACTGTTTTTGAGATACTTTTCCTGATTACTTTTATACAGTGGATGTCACCGCTGAACTTGGCATCATCTTGTTTCTCTTGTTTGTCTCAGGCCGTACGTATACATGTGACGGAAATGAAATGACTGAATCGTCGATGGAAGAATTTTATTCAAGTTGGATCTTGGAGCTTTAAAAGTATGGAACTGTAATAGCTTTTCTAGCAAAACCTATAATTGTTGTTATCAAAACCATTCGGAACTCCTATCACCAATACAATGGAGAAACCCCCAGTAAGGGCGGGACCCAAAGGAACAAATAAATAAAATTGTTTTCCTCTTCTACGCCGATCATTAACACGAATAGGGATTGTACGTTTATAGATAGGCATTTATTATTACACTTAGAAACAACATACCAACGATTTAACACGGTTGAAATAGTTCAACTATCTAGCAAGAGAATCTAGTTAATCACTATATTCAGATCGTCAAACAAACATGCATGTGACGCTTGTAAAGATCTATATAGACCATTCTTAAACGTAACTTACTTATTATCGAAAAAAATGGCAACTAAAGATACATCCAGCAAGGTGTGGCTAATGTTTGTTTTAGATGGGCCTGTGATAATAGGTTTTTGGCGTGGGAAAAAAAAACTTTCATGAGCCTAAGGGAACTCGTTGGTCGCGTGAAGGTCGGAATCTGATACAGCGGATAAAAACTCTTCGGAGACCACTAAAGAATAGATTAGAACAGACAGAACTAGGCTTCAGCAGTTGACTTAAATCCAAAACCAAAACGTGACCCAACTGACGTAACGCAGGGCTAGATAGTGGTAATTGGCGTTTCAGCCTGTCCAAGCAGTCAGTCAGTTAACCGAATTGAACGCCTAGAACAGGCGTCCCACCACCAAAGGCGCAACCCACGAACAGGTTACAAAGCACCTTTATTTACGCCAGTCTCTATGCAAATGATCTGATCCAGTCTTTCGTTTACTAATCCAAGCCTCAATATGCTGATTGTGTTCATAGCTATTCCATCATTTGCAAGTGGGGCAGTCTGTTTTACTGTACAGAAATATTAAGGTGATTTCCGCAGAACATTCGAGCAATAATGGCAAAAATGAAGTTACCAAAAAAACCTCATGGCATGGTAATATTTTGAATACAATTAAGAAGAACTTATCGAGAAGCTGACCCCGTGAGGGGAAATTGAACTTGAAGTTATCCATATAAAAACAGACGTTTCGCGTTTGTTAAAACACAATAACACAAGCTTTAAGCATTCTGACGTGGTTTGACATTAAAGGCTTTCTCGAGAACGTTTGAGAATTTTATCGCGGGGTCACTTAGGGCAATGAACAAAAGTAAGTTGCTTTAAATAGCATTCCCAAAGTTACCGTACTGTGGTGTACGGGTAGATTTTTAGTAAATAATTTTTGCACCCATTGCTCGAACTTTGAGCGGATCCATCTTAACTACTTACAACTTCAGGTAGTTCTCACTGTTGCATGTAAATACTGATAGACAGGTGGTTACCATGGTTACCTACGGTAAGGCAGTAGAAGGCCTTATCACAAATCGGCTACGCCAAGAGGAAATCAACTGAAAAGTTTGTACCATTCGGTACAGAAACAATTCACACCCGTGCGATTCACTGCTCTTTATTCTCAAATATGCCGTAAAAAGCTACAGTTCGATTGCTGCAACCAGTGCAATTTCTACCAGGGGTATCGAACGGTCTTTGAGAGCATTTGTGAGCATGCGAGCAGTGCCTTTATTTTTGCGAGCAGGAGCAGTATGATCAAATTTGTCCTGCGAGCAGCGAGCACTTTTAGAAAATACAGAACGCGAGCAGCGAGCACCTTGTAAACTTTCCGCCAGCTGAAATCTCTCTTTCACTTGTCACGTTGCGCCAAGAAATTTGGCTGACACCTCCAAAATAGGACAATAGGCGCAAAGGTAGGTAACCATTCTCAGCAGTTTACATCAGCAGCCAGTTATGCCTTGTTTTATGCCAAGTTACTTCGTGATGTAGCTTCACGTGAGTCAGTGGGTGGACGTTCAAGGAGATATAAACCTTTCTATAACCCGACGTTGTGAACACACCACGAGAAGAAGCTAAAAGCTACCAGTCCAACCCTAACCCTAAGGATTCACGAAATTTCCAGCAATCGAGCACATTTTAAGAAGAATCCAAGCATTCGAGTAGTTCAAAAATTTTGCGAGCACGAGCAAACGAGCACTCATCTTATTTTTGTGAGCAATTCGAGCAAAGACAAAATTTTGCGAGCACTTTTTTAATTGACTGGAACCATTCGATACCCCTTCTACCCCTTCTTTGCTGTTTTTTTTTAACTATTTTTACCCCCATCCTTAAGAATGAGGAAAAATTTGCGTAAAAGTGCACTTTGAAGCCGCTGTTACTCGTCGCCTACTCTAAGAAGATCTTGCAACAAAATACACGACGCTATCCATGGTGTACCATAAGGCTCTGTAAACGTTCAGAGGCCAAACGTTTCGGGCGGTTTATTTTCAGATAAGTGCCTGACCAAAATTGAATCTGTGTACATCTGAAATTTTAAGGCTTTAGTGTATTTGATATTGTGCCACTGTTGTATGTGTTCCATGAGCTGTGTCACTTTATTTCCTTTTGAATAACGAGTGATCGGTATCCGACTGACAACTCCGACATGATGGGTTTAAACCAAGAGAAAATGCAAGACTTAAGAAATCTACGGGGTGTGTGGGTTCTAACAGTAAGTCGAGCCAAGTTGAATACACTCGAAGCTTCCTTCTGTACATAAAATGTTATATATTAATCAGTCATTACAATACCTACTTATATAGTTTCAGTTATGCGAACACTGAATTGTTTTGGCCGAGGAATGCTCTCTTGAGTCAACAAGTGGAGCGTCTTGCAAACTAAGTGTGAAAGAATGTTTGTAATACCAGTTACTGGTAAATAAACAGTTTAGAAATGAAAATGGCGTAAAAAGTTATCAATGTCACTGCGCAAATCACGACTGCTAAGGCCGGCGGAGTATTTAGTCCGCTCTCAGTATCGTCACTTAAACATTTTCTGTGTATCTCGACAGTTTTCGTCATAAGCGTCACGTGCAATTTTAGGGAGTCGAAAACGCACGTTTGCGAAAGCTTTTGTTTTAGTGTATGACGGTTTGATCTGCGGAATGCGTGGTAACGTTCAAAATTGTGGTAACATCATGATTTAACCTTTAATTACGTGAACATCGATTTCCGGCAAGTAAGCCTTATAATGTGCTCATTACAAAACACTTTCAATATTGAATCTATAAACATGTATTTCCCGAGATCTATAATATTTGATTATACTGTCAGGCTAGCTTACAGTGTTTCCACAAATCAAGTTTGCAGATTGGTTTACACCTTTGAATTAACTGAAGATAACAAAAGGAGCTTAGACAAAGAAGCAGATCAAAGGCTACAAGTACCAATAACCATTTCCAGTATTATCACGCCTACTACTTAAGCTGTATAGGCCGGCAACTATACGCGCTGGAATTATAAGGTTAATGACTTCACGCGGGCAAGAATGTTACTTAGTGGACACCAGTTGCACTTTTGTGGTTTTGGGTGGGATTAGTTAGTGGGTCACGTTTTGTGACGCTTTGTGTTTCCTCGGAGACCGAGAACGGAAAAAAGACCAATAGCTTTCATTTTTTGGTGAAAGGAAANAGCTTACAGTGTTTCCACAAATCAAGTTTGCAGATTGGTTTACACCTTTGAATTAACTGAAGATAACAAAGGAGCTTAGACAAAGAAGCAGATCAAAGGCTACAAGTACCAATAACCATTTTCTATTATCACGCCTGCTACTTAAGCTGTATAGGCCGGCAACTATACGCGCTGGAATTGTAGTATAAGGTTAATGACTTCACGCGGGCAAGAATGTTACTTAGTGGACACCGGCTGCACTTTTGTGGTTTTGGGTGGGATTAGTTAGTGGGTCACGTTTTGTGACGCTTTGTGATTCCTCGGAGACCGAGAACGGAAAAAAGACCAATAGCTTTCATTTTTTGGTGAAAGGAAAAAAAAGGAAACCCTTCATCGCCTTACAGTTCTAGGAAAAAAATAGACCGCTCTCTTTACGTAAAACTATCGTTGTAGTGGTTTACCCCCACATTGGGTGACTTCGTGACGTTCAATTGATCTTGACGAATCACGCATCACAGACATTTTTTCACCCTTCGCGATAAATAACCCAAATCACGCGTCGCAAAGAGAGTAGAGATTATCAGCGCTGAACTCCTGGCTGTCGTGTTTCACGTCCACCGACAGACAATGTAAAGGTTTTGAAGCGAATCCAAGAAGTTCCAGCCCTGACGTTTTACTCGGTTGGGTAGGCTCCAAGCGAAAGACACGTGCTCTGATCAGTTTTATGTTGGCGTTTATTATTCGCACCAAAAACACTGTCATCTATCTAATCGCCTGTTGTTTTTAACCGACCCTCTTAACCGTCTGGCGGATATTTTTAATTTAGTATTTAACAACAGAAACAGAAGTGACCATGCAATCTAAATAGCATCTGCTCTGCTAGGGCCGACGGTCACGTGGCCTATCTTCCTGTAAAGTGGGTTACAACACGTAGAATACATACCAGAAGCAGGAGATTAATATCAGAAAAATGCAAGGCAAGGTTATGTTTTGCTTCTCTTTCAGAAATAACCTGAATGTATGAACATGTTGTCCATCAACCTTACTAATTTTCCCACGTCCTTTTCAATTCTGGGAGACATTCGTGGAACGTGCCACGGAAAGGCTAAAAAGATTGCAGAGGAAGTTCCATGATGAAAAACTTTTGGGGCCTTCTGTCACAACAAGACGAGACAAGTTGTATGCATGCAAAGTAGAAGTCTTCTGTAGTCTCCCTGTATCTTGTAAGAACAACTGCCTCGCGCAACAGATAGGGCAATTTTTCTCAGTATAACTTAGACGTTAGTGTCACGGGGGAGAACAAATGCCGAAGTCATATAAACGCCCGTAGAATTGCTCTCCGTAATCACAGTACAGTTGTAGGACTTGAATGAATGACACGTATCATGCATGCTTTGCACTTTGCATCCGACTGGCCGAAACGGCTTCATCGACTTAGTATGACTTGGCCGGTTTCATGTTATCTGATGAACGCGTGGCTATTTTGTGAGCTCAATACACAGAGAAATGAAAACAATTGTTCTCAATATGTAGGCCTCAAAACTACTCACACGAAATGTAAACCATGTCTAATCTAATATTTTTAAGTCTTATAAGTTTATACAAAAGAGAATAAAGTTAATTATCTTATTTAAAGAAAATGTAA